CATGCTCTTTATTATCTAACGTGTGCTTTGCATGAAGATGTTTTTAGACGTGTGTGGAATATGGAAAGTGCCCATGATATGTGGACGGCACTCCAAGATCTCTTCGGTGACTCCTCCATATGGGATGATAGCAAATTCAAGAAGGAGGATGATCCAAAGGAGAGAGCGCATGAGGATGCTGAGCATAGCCATAACTCGGTGATTGTGCAAGATTGCTCCACCTCATGGTCAAGTGATGATGATGATAATGATGATTCTACCACAAGTTCACTTGACAAGGTTGATGATGGCTCAAGTGATGCAAATGATGATCCTATTCCATGCACACTTGATGATGATGATGATGATGGTGGCTATGAGAGTGATGTCTCTACAAGCTCTCCTACATCACCATATTGCTTCATGTCACAAGGTGACACTAAGGTATCTAATGATAATGTGGTTGATCATTATTCATGTGTTGAGCTTATTAGTAGACTCTCTAGAGCTTTAGAAAATGAGATGGCTAAAACAAACAAATTAAAAAATAAAAACTCATTTCTAAAGAACACATGTGAATAATAAAAGCATCTACTTTATATTACTACTTGTTCACATGAGGAGCTGAAATTGGCTCATGAGCAACTTAGTGTTGCTCATAATAACTTGTTACAAGACCATGTTTTTCTCACTAAAGAGCTTTACAATAGAAAAATTAAAACTAGTGAGAGATCATCACATGGGTCAAATGATCAATCACATAATGATGCTAACCCTTGTGATGTAGGCAAGAAGAATGTATCAACCTCTTGTGATGATTTATTAGCTATGCCATGTTCTTCACATATAAATGCTTGTTCTACTTCTATGTCTTGTGAGACTAACCTTTTCAAGGAGAACAATGAGCTCAGAAGAGAAGTGAAGAAGTTGAGCAACAAGATAGAGAGGTGCTACAACTTCAAAGTCACCTTTGAGCATATGATGAACAATCAAAGAAGCTATGGTAACAAGAGTGGCCTTGGGTTCAAGAAGAAAATGACAAGGGCGAAAGAAAAAGAGAAAGAAAGATGAAGAAAGAAGCTTGTGAAAAGCTTTCGCATTTCATGTGCTATTGATGCCATGAAGTGGGACATCTTCATAATTCATGCCCCAACATAGACAAGCCCAAGTTGAATAAAGAAGAAGACAGGCTTAAGTACGTCAAGTGCTTCAAGTGCCACACATGGGTCATTACACCTCCATGTGCCCAACCAAGAGATTGATGAAGCAACAAGAAGAGCCTCGACCAAAGCCACAAGTTGAGCAAGAACACAAGCCCCAAGAACATTTATCTATACATTATATTTTTTCAATGTGATTAATGCACGCACATTCTTGGTCAAAACAAAAGAGAACCATTTAAGCAATATCAGATACGCTAATTAGAATATGTCAACAGAGTTGTAACCAACTCTATTCATGGGATGTGTAAGTATGAGGTTCAAAATGTTATTCTTATTCATGTAAGATGTTAAATCTGCCATGTAGTAGTGGCAGAACACCAGTAAATCCCATCCAGTTTCCTGTTAGTAAATTCTTGCACATAGGAGTATATGTTAGAATTACTAGCTATACATTCAGATCTCTAATTAAATTACTGGCCGCGGCGGCTTCACTCATGGCCTAGGGATCTTTACTGCCTTTAGCTCCCTCACTAATCTGAAAGTTGCTTGTAGTTATACTGAATACATGTTGGATAGGATTGCGGCTAATAGTTTGGTGCCCCTAAAGTTTTTGGCGGTTAAATCTGAATTCAGTTGTTAGCAGTGCATCCAGGCTGTCTGTCTGTCATTCTGGTGAGTGATAGAGCAACAGCACTCTGGTGAAGCAATACAGTACTCTTCTGGGTATACAACTAATCGCATTTAGCATGATATCTATAATTATCAAGATGGACCAACAAGGGCAACTGTTGGTAGCACAAGAAACAAATAAAAATGAACACAAAAATTAGTCAAATAAGAGACTTTCTAAATATCAAATGTATTTCTTGACACATTTGTATATTATATTATTGAAAATAGCAATGGATACTTGGAAGATTCTAGAACGATCTGGATATTAAAAGAGGTAATAAGGTATTTACCATCCAAGAGTCTAGAGCTAATTTCTGTTAATGGAAGAAAAGACTAGAACATGCAACCATGCTTCATAGTGAATATAAGAAATTTCTAAGGCTTTGGTGACTACAAGACTAGATTGTTGCCATCCAAAAGGGTAAGATTATGAGAAAGTCTACAACAATATAGAAGGTAGATATTTAGCTCACTATGATATAGGGTGAAGTGTGGAATGATCTAGAATTAGAATATTTTGTATGGATTGATTTGGATGGTTGCCACTTAGCACCAATCCAATGGTCATGTATCAATATAAATAAAAGCTAAATACATAATAGTCATTTGTTGTTTAGTGTGAACTTTGACTATTAGGTACTAGAGACAGGCTTTAACAAGGACAAACCGGGGCAAGATGTGTCAAGAAATGAAATGGATTTCAAGTGAAAAAATAACTATGTGATGAATTTGAAATTTTGAATAGATCCTAAGATTGTGCATTTGTGTATAGATTTTGAGAAAAAACAAAAGACCCGATAAAAAAATGGATCATAAGAAAAAACAAAGGACACCATCAATTTAAATAGAGCAAGTCTTTTATAGTTGACAGATAGATGAAATACGGGAGATTGACTAGATATCATTGGTGCCTAAGTATAAGCGAAGAAATATAGTGAATGCCTCAGAGTACGAATAGACATCACACGAGCCGCTGTGTAAAACAAGCAATCAACGCCGATTCCGTTCAACACCCACACCCATACCCCTGAGGTAGCGTAGGAAGTCATTACGTACTGCGAGCCCCTGTGTGATTTTCTGAACCTCGGGCCTCTGGTAATCTGTTACGAGGTTAAGGAACGCTACGGTAAAATGCTTCAATATCGTGAGCCTTACTGCATGCTCAATAAGTCATTGTTCTCATTTGTTGATACTTCTAGGCTGGGGCATTGCATCATAGCTTACGGATATCCGAAATCTTCGTGTGCTGAGAATATGATTGGCGCCCCTACTGATGAGCCAGGACGTCTGCTCATCCACCCCGACGCCATCGATTCTTATACTGTTGAACAACACACCAAGTGAAGGTTACATGGATGTGAAGTAGCCGTCTCCTCCCTAGGACCATCTTAGTGGGAGAACATCATCAAAAACATCTTCTAGGCCACTGCGTGCTTAATCTGGTAAATTGAAAAACTCGGGTTCTAACCCACGTTCTTAGTATCCTTAGTTTTGTGGTGAAAAACAGATCTTCTCTTTTAGCACATTTTGGGTTGTTTCATGGGAATTGCACTTTCACTGTGTATGGCTGGTGGACTAGCTTATTGTATCGGTGCCAGTTTTTTGCATTAGGATTCAAATGTATCATATGTGGCAACCTACGCTTGTTTTCTTTTAGTTCCCTTAATTTTCAATTGGAACAGTACGTCTTGCCCATACTTTAGAGCTCGTAGTCGTTGCATCAATATATGTCTGTTTTGTGTCCACCAAGTTTAATGGACAGCAGCATGATGTACAATGTCCATTTTACTCGAACACTGATTTTAGAAGTCTTCATCACTCATTTCCTGTTATACATATATCAGATGTATTTTCTTACCACATCTCACATGGATTTCTTATCTAAAACTACAAATGAATAGCATATCACCTGAATGAGTCTGAAAATCTATAGTGTGTTGTCGCTTGCCCGTATTGTTTTGGAGACATTCATATCCAAACCATCACCTGTACCAATGTGACTACAGCAGGGGCAGTATTTAAGTCAGTATTTCGTTTCTTTTCTTGAACATAATGTGGCAGGTGTTCTGCCGTTTCATTTCAGTAGGGAGCAACAGTTCAGAGTTTACAAAATGTAGCTTTACAAGGAGAACAGGGAAAAAAAAAAAAGGGGTGGAATTCATGCTGATCAGACTTTGCCTCTGAATCCTGCTCAGCCATCAGTAATAGCCTAAGGTCATTCCTGATCACTTCTAGGAGTTCTTCTGTGCTGCGTGCTTTGTTATCGAAAATGTGTTTGTACCGCTCTTTCCATACGTTCCAGACAGTGTAGGTTATGATTGTGGTCTGGCTCCTATCACTTCCTTGTCCAGTCTGTTGGGTCAGTTGCTTCCACCAGCCACAGATTTTCGTTCTGGTAATTGCTAGCCCTTGTTTCAGTGATCCAGGCCTCCACTTGCCGCCATAGTCTTTTTGTGTAGCTGCAGTTTACCGCCATAGTCTTTCAGCAGTATTTCGTTTCTTTTTTACCTTTATTACTGTCAGTTTGGAAGTATAAGTCCACACTGGAAACAGATGCAACGAGGTGAGATGAACTCTTGCACTTCTTGGCCTTTGGTATTGCTTTCATAACACTGATGAAAGGGTTCGTTCATCTATGAGAGAGTTCCTTATTTGACACTGGAAAAATGAGTCGTTCTTTTTTGGTTCTGAAATTTTCTTCGTTCCCTATTTGACACTCACTTCAACTTTCATCCTAATTTGACACTACCTTCAAATCCGTTAGCTAACGGTGTTAATTGGCTGTTAAAAAGACGTTTTTGCCCCTAGAAAAAAAACGGCGAAGCAAATTTGAGAGGAAAAAAACCTGCGCCTTTTTTTTTGCAGCTGGGCGCATGCATCAGAGGCAGGCGCATGTTTTTTTTCCTCTCAAATTTGCTTCGCCACTTTTTTTTCTAGGGGCAAAAACATCTTTTTAACAGCCAGTTAACATCGTTAGCTAACGGATTTGACGGTAGTATCAAATTATGGATGAAAGTTAAAGTGAGTGTCAAATAGGGAACGAATAAAATTTCAGAGCCAAGAAAGGAACGACTCATTTTTCCAGTGTCAAATAAGGAATTCTCTCTTCATCCATACACTTGTACAACAGGAAGGAACCTCTAACATTATAATTCCCTCCCCCGTTAGAAGATCCAATTTGAGCACTTAGATATTGACATCATTAGAGATTAGACCATGCGTCCATGCCGCCACTCCAACGCCCTCCTCCCTTGTCAAGCTTAGCTTCCACTGACCACAGCAGATCAGCAGCCACCACAGGGACAGGGGAGCTGGACCTTCCACTGCACTTGATCGCACGAAATAGTGCGTGGGGTACTTGTGCTCCGAGCCGTTGTAGTCATAGTAGAGCCTCTCCCCACTGGAGATGTCCCTGTTGGCCACCAGCAGCTCCCGGCAGTCGCTGCCCACGCCGAACCGCACGCACGTGACGTTCTCCTTCTTCCTCCCCTCCCTAACAATCCAACAAGGTTCAGTCGTTCAGCACTGCAATGCGCAACGGGACATCTCTCTGTATACTCATGGCGTGTGGTTGTTGATGCCGTTGATGAATCGCGCGATGTTGCTGCGACGGTCGGGGCAGATTGACGAGGCTGCGTGCCGGCAATATGCCGCCGACAGCAGCGTCATCATGCTGTCGCCGTCGTCGTGCTCCCGGTTGCGGAGGAAGTCGACGTCGCCAACGTACTCGCTGATGATGGTGAGGTCTCGGATGGAGCGGTCCGCCTCCACGGTGAACCCTTCCACGGGGTCGTACGCCACAACCAGCGGCGGCCATTCCCCGCTCGCCATCATCCGCTGGCACGTCGCCAGCGTCTCCGCGTCCTCCCTGGTCAGCACCTGCATCCCGCAGGCCTCCAGCACCGCGCGGTTCTTTGACCGCGGCGCCATGCCGGTCTGGTACGTCAGCTCGTAGCTGAGGCGGCTCCCATCGCCGTCAGCGCCGTCGCCAGCGACGCCATCTGCCGAGCCGCTGCGCCGGGTCCGGGCTCGGGCTGAAGGGCAACAGCCTCCGCCTCTTCTTCTTCTTCGACACCACCAGCGCGCCGGCGGGCTTACGTTTCCGATTCTTCAGCTCTGCCAGCGTCGACCTCTGCTGGATCTTGAAGACATCCACGATCTTCGTCTGCACCAGCGGGAACTCTGCGGGACATAAAAAAATCGCTGATGGATGATTGATTGAGCCCAGAAGCAATTTCTCAAGCTCAAATGGCTACTTACAGCTGAAATCGCAAAGAAAGAGTACACATGCTTAGGCTTCTTGCAGGCGACGGTGGAAGCAGAGGCGGCGGATTCGGATTTGGATTTTGGAGGCCGGAGCACGCTAAAGATGGCAACGGGTACGGGTATTGGCACTCATCCCGGCAAACTAAAATATATCCCATCCCCGTCCCCGTCCCCGCTCATGGGTACAGATTTTCTCCGGCCCTGTCCCCGACCTCGACCGGGGATTTCATACCCGCCGGGGACTTATACCCGAGTACACACCCGTGTATAATCAACATTACATGCCACCATACACATAGTTATAGCCCATAGGCCATCATATGTTAACTGGACCTATTTCATATATCATATACATATACACATATATAATAGCTTAGCGGTTCTCCAGCGGGTACTGGGACGGTACACAGGGAACGTCCCCGTACCCACCATCCCCATTGTGGATGGATTCTTGCCCATTTAGATCCCCGCGGGTACAGATCCCCATCCCCTAATGGATCAAATACCCGTCGGGTATCAGGTATCGGGTACCGTTGCCATCTTTAAGCGCGGCAGGACGGGCAGTACCAGTCGACGGCGGGGACGGGCGGGAGGATGATGGTCAGCGCGCTCCATGTAATATAAGTTTTGGTGGCCCGGCCTGGCCCAACCCTGACCTAGGCGGGCGTCGCGACGGATGAAGGTGTGGATGGGCCTTTGTGGTGCAACTGTAGTCGGCCATTTACTCCGGTGCTAAATGGGCCGGACAAGAGATTTGATGGACATTGTCACACGTTCCTTCCTTCCCAGTTGATGGAAATGTCCTCTCAAGGAAAAAAAAAAGAAAAAGAAAAAATAAAGTACAGTACGTACATGTTAATAGGTTTCTGTGGAAAAAAGAGGGATTACTGGACATTTGCTGATTGTGCTCATTCTAGTGTCGCGTGTTATGACATTGTGCAGCCTGGACTGAGTGAGATCCAGACTTGTCCTTTCATTCAATTCCACACATAGTTTTATTTCTACTACACATGCCACCAAATGTTCACAAGTTCATAGCCAGTGTTGGGCGCACTAAAAACCTTCATCATTACGTAGTAAGACCTATGCATTAGAAAACATGTTCGCTTGAACTTATCAACCCTGTTTATCAGCTATGTATACAATGTTTTTTCTCTCACAGCAAAACAGCATCAACCATTGTCAGACGCCTGATGGGGGGGGGCGTGACTTCCCCTTGATTGGAGGGTGAATTGGGGGAATAGAGGGGGGATTAGAGGGAGGATGGCAGCCCTAGGGCTGGCCGCGCCTAGAGGGATGGAGGAGATGGCGGCAGCAGCAAGGTACAACCTGGCCTAGCTGAGGGGTGGCTGGCGTGGCCACGATGGCTGGGGCAAGAGGTGAGGCGGCGGTGGGGCTGCAGGATCTGCGCTGCTGGGGCAGGTGCGAGGGGCAGGGGTGCTAGGGGAGGAGGAGGGGCCGTGGTGGCAGGAGAAGAGAGGGGTAGAGGAGTTTTACCCCTAAATTATTCTTGCTTGATTGAAAGGATACATCTCTCTTTATATTTATAGGGAGAACACGACTCGACTCGACTGGCAAGCAAACATAGCTTCTAGACTATTCCTAAAACTAAACACTACAGTACCCTTGCTACAGTACCTACGGGTACTGTTTGCACCGGGCCTGATTAGCCCGGCTTGGGCCCCATACCTTCGTAGCCCTTCATGGCTACATTGCCCCGTGACAGCCATGCTGGACAGGATTGTAGCTTATAGTTTGGTGCCTCTAAAGCTTTTCACAGTTAAAAGCCCGTTTGGCCAGGCTCTCGCTGGCTCCGGTTCTCACACTGTAGTGCAACTGTAGCACGCAGGAGCCGGAGCCGGGGGAGCCAAAAAAAAAGAAACGAGCTTTTCTGGCTCCGGCGCTGTCAGTGAGTGATGAAAGGAGGAGAGAGAGAAACGGATTCGATGAACAGGGGAGGAGTAAGAGGATCCGGAGCCGTCCGGCCAAACAGGCTCTCAATCTGAATTTAGGGCCTGTTTGGTTTTTACAGGAGCTCCTAAAATTCCGATCACATCGAATGTTTGGGCACATGCATGGAGTATTAAATATATACTAATTACGAAACTAATTACACAACTTACGACTAATTTGCGAGACGAATCTTTTAAGCCTAATTAGTCCATGATTTGACAACGTAGTGCTACAGTAAACATGTGCTAATGACGGATTACTTAGGCTTAAAAATTCGTCAAGCAAATTAGCCTCCATCTATGTAGTTGGTTTTGTAATTAATCTATATTTAATGCTTCTTATTAGTATCTAAACATTCAATGTGACATAAATTTTAGGAACGAGTAAAGAACCAAACACCCCTAGTTGTTAGCAGGGCATCCAGGTTGTCTGTCTGCACAGTACTCTTCAGGGTACACGACTAATTGATTTGAGTGTGCATGCCAACTTGCCAAGGGTCATTATTCTTGCTCTGCAAATTATCTTCGCGTTCCTCTTTACCTCTGGCATTAGAATTACTAGGACGATATCAGGAGACAATGATAAAACAGAGGGGATAAAGATTAGGAAGTTCAGGAGTACTTATTAGCCTCTAATTATATAGCAAAAAAATAACAGAAACTGAGGCTGCGGCAGATTTTGCACATGGCATCATAATCTCAGAGGTATATCGTTTCTCCTATATATGTGTACCTCCTATTTTCAAGCTTATTATACAGATAGCTGCAAATCCATAGACAACCTTGGGTGCTAGCTAGGTGACAGGTGTGGTGATGATTCTGCCGGAGCCTCGGCAGGTTGTGCAGGAGCGGGTGGAGGAGCACTTGTTGCAGTAGGTCCACTTGGTGGGCAGCCTGCAACAGATGCATTGCAATCGCATGCGTCATTGTCATGTTCTTGCTTGGTGACAGGTGAGGATGGATACATTATTTATATAGATAAACAACTAGCTAGAATTGAAATGGAAACTGGAAGAAGTACAGTACCCGGCGGTGTATCTGGTGGCCATGTTCTTGGCGGCCTTGCGCGCCTTGGTGGCCGTCTCCTCGGAGAGCTGCTTGAAGACGAAGCCCTCTCCTTTGCAGCGGCCGCAGAGCCCGGTCCCGCCGCAGTCCGGGCACTCCTCTCCCTCTACTTGTTCTTGTTCCTCCTGTTGCTGCTGCTGTGAGGCGGAGGCGGATGAGGAGGAGGAGCGGAGCAGGAGGCTGGCGGCACCAACTGTCCCGGCGGCGGCGAGGAGTAGCGCCGCAGCGGATTGGGGGTCGGGGAGGGCAGCTGGAGGCGGCAGGTGCCAACGACCTCGACTTCGACTTCTTGTGCTACTGGCAGTGGAAGAAGCAGTGGCAACACGAAGAAGATATGGCGCGCCCGCAGGGGTTGTAGGGCGGCTGGTAGTCTGAATCTGGAGGGGGAATGGCGACGGCGGGCAGCAGGAGGAGGAGATGGAGGAGATGCGAGGCGGGTGATGGGTTGTGCTTGCAGGCGAGGACGGCAGTGCCATCCTGCACCCCGACGGACGGCAGCAGATTTTTGGATAAGGAAAGGAAGGCTGCGCCTGCGCGCGGGTTTATGTGCAGTGCTCTGCTCTGCTCTGCTCTTGGGCGCCGGCACTCCTGACAAGTGAAAGGAGATACGTGCATGTGCATAGGTTGCAAAAATTATCTTTGGTAGCATAATCCTATCAAGGTTCTACGGGCACAATTTCGTGCCAACCGTAATGGAACACAATTGCTAAGAAATAGTGGTTAAAGTTCTGTTTATAAGACCAACCAAAATCATGGTGTGAATGAATGTTCTATCACCCCTTGATTCTCTTAGGTAAGCATATATCACCATATGATGAAACCTTTCCAGTAAACTTGAAATGTTACAGATGTAGAAATGGAAACGAAGCTAAAAATGAGTAGGACAAGATGATTACTCCAATACGTAGCTTAGCTTATCGATAATGCTTGGCCATGGGCGTCCGCCTCACCCTGCGCCACTCGCTCGCTTGGTCCTCCCTCCCACCCATCACGTGCCCCACCTGCGCCGCTCGCTCCTCGCTCCTCGCTCCCGTCCGTCGCGCCCCCACCCGCACCGCTCGCTCCGGCCACGCGCCGCCCACTCCCTCTCATAGTCTTGGCGTCGCTTTGCTGGCCAAGCCAAGGCAGTCTTTGGTGGCGGTTGTGCTGTCATGTAAGGTGGTCTTGGTCCGGTGTCTTTGGTCTTGGTGGTGCTCGTCCACCGTCGGATCCCCCCGATGACCGGAATCGACTAGTCCCGACATTCCCCTTTCCTATGTTGCAAATATATGTTTTAGGTATTTCAGATGTATGTTATAATTGTTTCATATGGATGTTGCAAAAGCAAATCATGATGTTGCACATGTTGCAAGTGTTTTAGAGGTACGTTGCAAGAGTTTGTTCAAAATATTTTATTTGTTTCAGACGGATGTTGTAAGTGTTTTATCTGGATGTTGCATATGTTACAACGGCTATGTTGGAAGTGTATGTTTAAAATGTTTCATATGTTTCGGTCGTATGTTGCAATTGTTTTTATCGATAGTTGCAAAAGTAGATCACGATGTGGGGTGGTCGAGCGAGGAAGAGAGCTACGTAGCCCTAAAGTGGGTCCTCACCGCGCAGCTCCTGACCAATGGCCTGCTCACCTATGCCATGCGCTGGAGCCATCACGTGTGGTGCTTGGAGCCATCACGACACATGGGTGCGGTGGGTAGGCACATCTGACAGTTGCAAAAGTAGATCGCGATATGGGGGCCCTCGCGAGAGGAGAGCTCCGTGGGTGCAGTGGGTCCTCACCGTGCAGGCAATGGGGCGCATGCCATCGCGCGGGAGCCACCACGGCGTGGTGATGCAGGCAAGGCGGGCAGGCCCTCGTATTACGTGGGTGCGGTGGGCAGGCAGGGGACGGGGCGGGGCATGGCAGGTCCGGCGAACGGAAGCTGACGTTCGGGCGCTAGCCCTGTGCCCTTGCTTATTGGTCAGGTGTGGTATTACCAGAAAAAGAGACCGGTACACTTGCAGCTATATATCCACTGTTATATAAAGCTTCATTTCCAGAGACGCCCGTTTTTAACAAAAAGAGAGTTTTTTAATAATATAAACAAGATATGGCCAGAACTAATCCTTTTGTACAAGACCATTGCTGGCAACTGAAATGTCATGGCATTGCCCTGATTGTTGCTTTACAATCCAAAAAACTAAAAAAAAAGAAGAAAACTTACAGTAAAACACCACTGCTTTTCTAGTTCTGGATACTTCTTGGGCAACAAGGTGAGTCCATACAAAATTCTAAACTTAAGTGAATTTTACAACAATGTGCAAGAATCCAAAACCTTATCTAAGTCCCCGGGAATTCATTCAGGTCAATCTTTGTCTAGATAGGTCTAGAGTCGCAATATTCTGTTGCTTTCACACCAGACAGTAGAATCTGATTCAGGTACAGGTACAGGAACAGGACACCTATTGACCTGAACAATGGCACCTCCCTTCAAATGCAGTAAAGGGCCCAGAACAGGATAAAATGAACAATGGTACCTCCCTTCAAATGCAGTAATGGGCGCAGAACAGGATAAAATGACCCAAATGCAACTGGTCTTGGACCTCAACTGACAATCATAATAATGTGTTAACAGGCCATGAGCCAGGTCCGCCACATCATTCGATTTCTGTAAGAAATAAAACTAACAGCTGCCCTCTGCAAGCACCTATGATCTGACCTCATACTTTCCAGCTTGAGTTTGGGCTCTGAAACCTTTGTATGGAGCGTTCGGTGTGTTTTTCACATCCAGCTTATCAATTTGAAGACCAGACAGGGCAACTCCCATAATCTTGAATTTCACCTGAAATGTTGGCAATGTATGCAACTGCGCAAGTCCTTCCTACAGACGTAAATTTCCAGAGAGCGCTGGCGCTTTATCTTTTGGTATCTGCCCAATTGTCCAAAGACAGGTCTGCATTAAGAAGATTACCAGTGTTAGAGAAGCATATAAAGGTGAAGGTACATGTAGAGTGCTCAGTTTCTAGCTTCTACAATTTTTCTGAAACTGCCTACTATAGACCCCTTACCTTGAGTGGTGACAATGGAAAAAATCAGGTATGAATGGAGTTACTATGGAACTTATGGTAGACAGTACACTGACCTTGTCGGCAAGGATGTCAACTGTGCCATAGTTTGCAGTCAAATCAGCAGAAACAATAAGAGGGGGCAACTGAAACTGCACGGTTATTGAATCAATTGGTTTCCCAGGATCATTTCGAATCCCCACCATCACACTAACACGACAATTCCCAGAATCTGATGTTAATTGAAGTTTCACATAAATTGGTGTCTTCTTCAATTTCTTAACCCTGCTCATTTGATCAAATGATGAGCATATACTGAGTGTACAGAAGAAAAGCTAGCATGCAAATGTGTACCTGTAACTCATGAGCTTGAACTGCCCATCGGGAGGAACAAATGATAGAACCTGATTTGATTCCCAAGGCCTGAATCGAACACAGGGTGGAAGGTAACATCATTGATAATTGTAGGGTTGGCAAATGACATGGTCAACTCTGGCACACCTGGGAGGCTGCAGTTTACTTGAACTTCACCATATGCTTCACATTTCACTAGAACCCCCTCTCTGCACACCAATCAAAGAACAAGGATACCCCAAACAGCAAAAGAACCTCAGTAACATAAGAAACATAAATATATAAAACATAAGTAGGATAGTTTGATGTGCTATTATGCTATACCACTACTTAATAGTATGAATCTTCACTCTTATGATGCTCTTTTTTCTATATTTTCATAGCACTTGCTAAAGTGCAGGGCAGTCATAAAATGGAGGTATACAAGAATAGATTGGAGCTCAATATCCAGAATTACTACAAAAATGCTGAAAGTCAAGTAGCTTCCAGAAATATTTGACCAATTACTGTGACCTTAAGGTCCTAAAAGCCATAATGGTAGAATTAATGGATCCCATTTATAGGGCATTAAAAAGGGGGAAAACTGAAATACCTGTTTACACATGCATCAAGTTCTTCAACTATGTTAACATAGACTTCATTGCTTGCATCCTTGACTATTGTTGTTCGCCAAGGTACAAAAGCAGCAGCTGCATCTGGAAGTTTGCTGTCAAGTGTAGAGCTCTTACCAGTAACAACATTCAACATTTTGTTCACAATATTAGGTGTGGCAATCATCTCTTTCAAGATGTTTGGCTCAGTCTTGAGTGGAAAACCATTATCCATCATCTCATCCAAAATCCGCACTCATTAAGCACTATAGATTTAGAGAAATATCAGAACAAGTGCACCGGCAAGCAGCAACAATGGCTTCACAAGCAGCAAAACTTGACTGCAGCATGCAGATTAGGAAATTTATAACAGACTCAACAAATTCAACAGTAGATCAATGGCATGCCTTGATCTTCTAAGTTTATCTCAAAATCTTCAAGAAATTTATTAAAAGATATAAGTTGGATTTTCTGTAAATTTCGATACTTCATGAGCTTTGTACCTCTGTATATGCAACTCAATATTTAACCCCATTAGAAATAATAGTTACATATGATTTCTTAATTTCCAAAGCTTAATATATCAAAGGACGATTGAGTTGAACATTTGCTAAATAAATAAGAAAAAAATATTTCTTAATGTCATGTTTGTAAAAACAGATTATCCTGCGACAAAGTAAAATGACACTGACACTGTTGTGTCATCCACTCATCCTAATACTTGCAATACTCATTCAGAAGAATATAACAGTCACATAACAAAATAATAGAATAGGCAACAGGTGCAGATTTATATTGTGGTGTAGTAGAGACTGAGAAATACACCTGATATACAATTACAAAGTTGTCCTTGATTATTTCTTCATTCAGATCTCCAAGATAATCTGTCAAGACATCGGCCACGCGAGAGAGAAACTGGAAAATGCAAGCAAAACACTTAAGCACATCTAGAAAATACAGCCAAAAAGTATCGTTTATGGCCAATCACTCTATCTGTTTTACAAATAGATAAATTTGGAAGGGTATTGTAAGATAAACATTTGAGGATAGGACAGAACTATGGGTCTTAATTAAAAAGTTGCCCTTTTCATGAAATTTTGTAAGATCTTACTTAACTTTCCTAAAATCCAAGAGTACTTCAACATCTGCATTGTTGAGGAACACTTGAGAAACTTTTCAGACAAAAGGACCAAGTAACACTGTGAGAGGCCAAAAAGAGACCTGCAGATTAATGAGGTTACTATGAAATATTTATTGTTCCTTTTTGTGGCCATGAAATATGCAGAATTTCCTCTTCGTGTTTTCTGAGTTCAATATGGATGGTTTCAACACATTTCCACTAACATTCTACAGCAAAGAACTAATTTGATGGTGCCATTGTTTCTTTTTCTTGCCAAACAGACACTATAGTTGACAATGTATCTGGTTTTACAGATTTGAGCAAGTGATCATATAGACTTCTCGTTGTCAATACTATATATCCTTTTATAGCAAGTTGTAGAAATACAAATTCCTTTTATACATAACAAATTATGTGAATCAGTGTGTAAGAGGCTCTACTTTGGTTGCCCTTATGTCTTTCAGACTGATGATGCGTGAGTGAAGAGCTACGCCACAGTACCAAAGCACCCACCATGCTCTGTACCAAATAACAAGCAGTATTTACCCCAAATGCAACAAATGTGTTGCATTTTTGTCTTTTGCTGCTACAGCCTTGCCCTTAAAGGAAATTAAAACAACAAGTAACGGCTAAGTGAAAGAAAAAGGTTGCAAAGAGAAGCCCACACCTCAACAGCCATCAGTGGGGCCATCTCCACTTGGGTGCATGCCAAGAACGTTACACCATCACGATAGATTTGAAACAAGTAATGCGTTGGTGACACCACAACCTGCAAGACCTTCCAAAGCCCAACAAACCTGATAAGTACATATCTGGTGGAATTGAACAGCTAAGATAAATAGAATGAAAACAGTGACACAATTAGGGATGCAATTTGTTTGGTTGGCTTGACTCATTTATTCGTCATAGTTCATTTGATCTACCACTCTATACACAAAATGAGTACATCTATATATTAGGTGGATAGATGAGTGGAGTAGGTTCTGGTCGATTCGCTTGCATCTCTAGCCACAATAGCTTTTTTTTTTTGGTGAACATCTAGCCACAATAGCTCGAAATTGGTAGATTGTAACATCAGCAACGAAACAATATATTGAATGAAGCTTAGGACTAGCCCGAGAGCTCCCAAAATTCTGCCAGCCAAGCCTAGGACTAGCTCGAGAAGCACGAAGTAGGGTTCGAGTATATAACAGTAATAAGCTAAGGTAGGGAAAAGGCTGAAGTTTGCAAGAGCAGAAGTTTATACTTTGGAAGGGTCGCCAGCGGCGTGGGCGACGACGTAGTCCCAGAACCAGGCACAGATGGCGCAGTCTACGCGGTGTGCCGCCATCTGCTTCTCCACCATCACCTCCCTGGCAAAAACCCATCCCGGATCGCATCAAGCTCAGCGACGGATCCAAAGAGGGGGCCAAGGAATCAAACGACGCTAGCAGTAAGAGAAATTGGGAGTCTGTAGAACCAAGATTACCCGGAATCGGAGAGGAGGAAGATGCACTGCAGCATTTTGCCGCCCTTCGTCGTCCGACGAGGTGGCGGCCTGGCGGGGGACCGGGGGTCCGGGGGAGACGACGACGACGGGCAGCCGGGCAGGTCAGGCAAGGCAGAAGTGAACGGAACTGTAACAACCCGGGTTTTTGAGAAGCAAAAAAATACGAACTTTTTAAAAAAAATTCATGCAACGTGTGAAACAAGTAATTGCTAGGTCAAACACGAGTCCAACTTGCTAACAAGACGTTGCATACATGTAGATGGTTTGTTGGTGATTGCCGAGTTTTCGAGTTGTCCTGTGTTTGAGTCTTGATTATTGTTGGAGAGCACAACCCATAGCAACCTTCTTATGATCCTCGCGGGATTATTTCGAGTCTTCCGTTAATTTCTCTTTATAATCCCAAACCCCACTAGAACCCGGACTTGCCATTTATATTTGTGTCGACCATTGGACCGGAGTCCCTAAACCCTAAGACCCGTAGTAGACCCTAGAGACCCTTGGATATTACCCAAGTGGGCCCACACCTAAGCTAATTAAGTTTAGCATACAAGCACTTGATTTGGGGAATTAATCAAACAATATTTGAAATAGAAGAGAGTAAAGGAAAACAGGAAGCCAAATCAATTAACCCAGCTCAAGCGGCTCACGCTGCTCGCGCCGACCGGTCCAACGGCTCGCGCCCACCTCGCGCCAGTTCGCCCAAATTTAGCAACGCTGCCCACCGCCACTCCTCCTCCCCCCGCCCGCCAGCGCTTTGGCTCAATCTGCACCATCGCCATCAGACACACTTAGCAAAGCCGAGGCCCGGCTTCAAGACGCTGCCACGCCATATATCACCACAGGCGCGCCAGACGCCTCCAACCCTAGGGCGACGTGTTCGGCTCCCAGCCGCCGCCGCCGCCCGCTGAAGGCAGAATCAAGACGACGCGCAGACGCCGCGGCGCCCTCAGCCGTGCCTCACCGCTCTGCTCCTCGATTTAGGCACAGCGTGTCCCTCCTCAGCACGGACGCCGAGGATGGACGGAGCCCCGGAAGCCCTAAGCCGCTCACCCTATAAACACCGGCGGCGTGGCACCTCTCCAAATCCCAAGAGCCGCCGCCGCCCATTCCTCTCCTCCTTCTTGTTCATTCGCCTTGTTGACAGACAGCCCACGCCGGTCGACCATCGCGGGCGTGGCCCTCCATCGCCCCGCCAGCTGGGCGCCGCCCCTCCTCCAAGCCACCGCCGTCGTCTCGCCGGGCGCCACCGTGACGCCGCCACGGGAGCCACTCGCCAGCAGGCCGAAGCCACCACGGAGTCGCCATGCGGCCACGACATCGAAGCCATCTCGGTGCGGTACCGCACCATCGAGCGGTCCATGACCACACCGCCGCGGCGATCTGCGTTCGGGACCGAACCACGAGGTCGCGGCGCCACTCCGTTCGAGCCCTCGGTGCTGCGACCAGGCGACGACCGTGCGCCAACGACGCCGCCGCCACGCGTGGGGACATCACCGCCTCTGCACCGGCCCTGCCTACACCGAGCCCGTCCTGCACGAGAACATCACCTCCCCTGCTCTCCAGGCCCGTGACCGTGACGACCTGAGCGCCCTGCCTTGCCCCGACCCTATCCCGGCCTTCGACGTCGGCTTGACCCCAGAGCACTCTTGGAACCTGCAGCGCCTCACCACGCCGGCAGCCACGACCACCTCACCCCGAGCCTGCAGAGCTGCCATGCCATGCCAAGCCACCACCATGTCCTGCCCACACACGGTCGCCGTGGCCAGAGCCACCCACGGCGCCGTTTCGTTCAGGCCGATGATTCCCCCATGTGTCCGGCCTTCGTGCCGTGGATTTTCTGCAGGGACCTCGTCAGTTGCCGTCTTCTAGCCCACCGGATCCAAGTCTGCCCTGCCACAGCCGTACCGACCATCTCCGGCCACCTCGTGTCGCGAGGATGCGTCGTCGAGCTTCACCGTGAACCCTTAGCGCCCTATGTCCGTGCCTCCGAGCCACCAAGTCGCCCGGGGGCGTCAGCTCGCCGCCGGCAGGGGACTCCGTCGAGAAGCAGAGGAGAATGGGGAAAGGGGAAGCAGCAGCACGGCGGACTTGGTTCGCCGTGGACCAAAGAGAGAGAGAAGGGATGTGCACCTGGTCCACCACAGACTGTCCCTGCGGTCTATGGACCTACAGCTGCTGGTCCACCATGAGCCGCCGCGGTGCACCCAGCCTGTAGACCCGGCCCATATGGAGCCCGAATGCACCACGTGGATAGCCTACCTGCCCGACAAGTGTCCGGCCCGGCCTGGCCCAAAATCCAGCCTAGACCAGGCCCGCCAAGGCCCAGTCGGGACCCAAATCGGTTGACCGTTGACCGGTCAACGTTGATCGTTGACCGGGACCCACATGTCAGCGACACAGAGCCGCTGGACCCACCTGTCAGTTGGTGGCATCATGCTGACGTCATAATGACGTCATGCGGGTTCCACCTGTCAGTGGCCCAAGATCCCCGGTCCCACCTGTCGGACTGATGACGTTGTGCTGACGTCAGCGAAACCCCACCTGTCAGCCACTGTATAGCTGGACCAATCATGCGCTGCCATGTGACAAGCCTTGGTTCACCCCATCCTTTTTCTTTTTCAGAAAT